GAGCCCCAGGGCCAGCAGGAACAGCTGCAGGGACATCAGGCTCATTGTGTTGTTGGTGTGGGAGTGGCTCTGAAGGGCCCGCACACACACTGAGCAGCACTGGGCTCTTAACGGCTGGAGCAGAGAGGCAGCACACATATGCAAAGTCACACAGTCAGAGGAGACAGACACACAGCTCACACTACTGCCCCCTACTGACCACTACTGACCACTACTGACCACTACTGACCACTACTGCCCCCTACTGAACACTACTGACCACTACTGACCACTACTGAACACTACTGACCACTACTGACCACTACTGACCACTACTGTATTTCATTTTCTTGATTATTCATTCAAAAGGGTACAGTGATATATATCATGCAGACAGTAGTGCATTCAAGTGAACAGTATGTCACCTTCCCTTCACTATACAGCAGGGGTCTCTCAGGGGTCAGTTTGACGGCCCCTACTTTTCTCACTTAATTTCCATCTGCCTTGAGTTTACAAAAATGTGGACACTTATGTAATTCTGTATGACACGTGTCTGATCTTCACACAAGCTCCATGTGTTTCCTTTAAAAAATGTAAAAATAAAAACAGTATCTACATTCAGACCAACTACAACACTGGTCCTAGATGAGGTCAGCTGATAGATAAATACATGTGAGCACTACAGAGAGCAGAGCTGGAGCAGACGCAGCACATACACAAACTCACACAGTGACCTTTGACCTTTGGACCAGACCCTAAAATGGTTCAGTTTGGGATCAGAGCAAAGCTGAGGCCTGAACACAATAGAAACAGTGTCTGTGAGTTTATTCTTGTGAGTCGTGTGTTTAGTTGGATTGTTTGTGATTCAGAGCAGTAAATCCAGAAGAACAAATGAGTCCAGAGCTGCTCTGTTCCAAACACACATTTAACATGACACATGAATCTGATCACACTGGATCAGGAGAGAGGCCAGTCACACTTCACTGTCACATTTACAACATCCAGACTCTGATGAAAATATTCAAAGGTATATTTATTTGAAGAAAAATGTCCATGTTTTGTTTGTTAGATTTTGATTTATTTTTTTACAAGTTTAAAATATGATGGAAATGTGAGTTATATGCATATTCTTAATTACATGTGTAATAATTTTAACTGAATGTGTTAAATACAGCCTTAAGATGAGCCTTTCAGGTGTACAGTTTTTGGAAACATATAAACCACTGTTATTAAAATATTAAAATGATTTAAGTAATTACCATTATATAACAGTTAAATTGTGTTCATTAAACACAGTGTCCTGTACCAGCCCCATCACACAATTCAACACAATTCTTTGTCTCTTGCTGTGAACCTCAGGGATGTGTTATAGCTCCTTTTGTCTTTTATAATGAAGTGAATATTCAGACAACAGTAGGAATGTTAAGTTTTGTTTTGTTTTGTTTTTTTAATTCACTGAGTTAATAGTTGAATGTATTAATGAGTTTGTCAGTGGTTCATTTAATGTCATTCATGAGTTTATGTTCATATATTTCTCTTGAGCCTTTCCCTCAGTGAGAGCTCCTCTTACAAAATAGAAACATCACAGAGCTGCTCCTAATGTGATGAATCACATTTGAATTATTCTGCATCATATGAATTCTTCCTAAATCCTTTGGGGAGAAGGAGCTGGAGAGACACTGGCAGCTCCAGAGGCTCAGGCTGGAAACTCACACTGATAATTACATTTAAGTCAAGATTTGGAAACTTATGTTAATCGTGGATGTTTGACTAAACAAGAATAATGTTGTGTTTACATTTTATGCATATATTATTTAGTTACTTATTATTCTTTTTTTTTTTTTATTAGACAAAATTGTACTGTATATTTTTATGTAGAGTTATCTAAAGTATCAGTTTCATGCTCAATGAAGTGAGCGCAGCTGCAGCTCAGTTCAGTTCAGTTTCAATTCAGTCTGAGGTTTTTGTACGAGTCTTTTTCACTGTGTGAACAGATCATAACGGGAAGAATCAAACATCTGCCTTACAGTGATACACAGCAAAATCTTCAGCCTGAACTCCTTTGATGGTCAGAGTGAAGTCAGACCCAGATCCACTGCCTGAAAAACGACTGGGGACACCTGAGGCTCTGGTAGACGCACGATATATAAGAGCTTTAGGAGGCTCTCCATCTCTCTGTTGGTACCAGTGTACATAGTTATTGTTGTACACATTCACACTGGTGGTACAGCGTATGTTGACGGTGTCCCCCAGGGCGGCCCATCACTGCTCCAGCCTGACTCACTGTCACCTGTCCTCTGGACTCTGAACACACAAACACAAAGCACCTGATGGTTTAGTCTGGTTGGTCTCAGAGGGACGGATGTGGACAGAGGACAGCAGTGGGACTCTCTGGACTTTACCTGTGAAGCAGCAGCAGAGGACAGTCCACATGAGGACGCACACCAAAGTCATGTTGGTGATGAGGAGGCCGTATGTGGCTTGTGTTGTCATGAAGGACAGCTGCCAGTGCTCCAGAGTGCACCTCTCAGGACTATAAAGTGTCCCACTGGAACCATGCAGCTGTTCATGCAAAGTGTTTTGTCTATGGAAATGAGGCTCCCACACAGACATGGAGCACACTGAACAGCTGCAGGGGCTGTGTCATAACTCTATTTATACAGCACAGATACAGTACAGGAACATAGAATAAAATCATGCAATTGTAAATATATAAAAAGTGAAAAACTAAATAAAAAATAATAAAAATGACCTAGTTTAAAACACAGCAGCAGAGTGAGAGTTTGTGATGGGAGTTGTCAGAGAGCTCCAGAGAATTGGGCCATAGTACATGAAGGCGCCCTCACCAGATCGGGGCTGTATTCATGACACTGTTCAAAGTTGTTGATTGGATGAACGGAGAGGTCTGAGTGGAGTGACTTCTAAAAGCATGTCACAGATGTAGGAAGGAGCCAAAGCATGTGGAGATTTAAAGAGCAATAATAACATTTGAAAATCACTTCTTTGTTTAACAGGCACCAGTGAAGTGACAATCAAATGGGTGTAATGTGCTCAAAGTGCTGAGTTTTGGTTCCAATTCTAGCAGCAGGATTTGGAATGAACTGGAGTTTGTTTAGTGAGTGATTATTAAGACAAACATAAAGTTCATTACAACAGTCGAATCCAAACAAAAACATGAACAACTTTCTCAACATCAGGTTTGAACAGGACACGTCTGACCTTAGAGATATCATGTAAATGTATAAAAGTGATTTTACTAATATTTAAATTTTTTTTCTTAAAATTAAGGTCAGAGTCGAATGTTTCCTCACTTTCTTTTTTTTTTTTCCTAGTAGGAGAAAGGAAAAGCTAAGGAGTGAAGTTGTGGGTTGATTTTTTGCCTTAATACTTTTGGGCCCATGACCACTACTGACCACTACAGAGAGCAGAGCTGGAGCAGAGGCAGCACATACACAAACTCACACAGTGACCTTTGAACTCTACAACCCTAAAATGTTTGAGATTAAAAGCTACACTGTAACACATTTCCTGTAAATTTTACAATAAACACCTGGCAATTCTGTTGCCAGGTGTTTATTGTATTATTTCAGTAAATTTCTGTAAATTGTATTTCCAGGTAAGAGCTGGGAACACTTTGCAGGTTTTTGTTGGGGAATTTTTACAGTTATTCATTGGTTTGTTTACAGTAAATAATTGCTCTGCAGCTTACAACAAAACCTTGTATACCACATTTACAAGTA